TTCAAGTGCCCCCCCCCCCCCGGAGAAAAAAGTCTGGAAGAAACACTGGTAACTGTGTAGCTAGCACCAGGGGCGTGGCTCTCTCCTAGAACTGGTAACCACGCGGTGGCGCCGCTGGCAGCGCTACACGCTTAAACCCGCCGTTTAGCGCCTGCTTACCGGAAGTGTCGCCGCCTGGGTTGTATCCGGTTCCGGTTAAAAGGGCTGACTCTGAGATTTAGGACATACTGAACCGACGCTGTTGTCCACTAATTGAATTTATTCTACAGTACATCGAGCCATGTAGAACAACAGTAGAAAACAGGCGACGATTAAACAACGATTAAAGATGAATAATGAAATAATAAAACTGTAGCCCTAAAACAAATGTAAACAAAAGGTTACATTACTGGTAATACCACGCACGTGTAGGCTACAAACATACACGGGTGCACTAAAATATGTTACTGCCAATAAGTAGCAATAAGTAGCACAATAAGAACTACTTAAATAAATACTTAACACCTAACTAGTGCGCAACATGCGGGACTAGCAGGAATAATACAGAAAGTAATCTAACGAAGATGCTCCATCCCTAGTCTGCAACATGCAGCACTAGTAGGAGTAGTACAGTGATATAAAACATAATATTACCTTCATTAGGTCTACATTGTCATGATCTACCTCTAGGTGCCGCCACCCTCCGTGTCCACAGACAGCAGCCTTGGGTCTGACTGACACGGCTAGGCACGAACTACCCAAAATCCCATGTCACATAACATGGGACACAGGTAAAATCGCTCACCGAAGAGCATGCAAAAAAAACTACATCAACAGTTCAGTTGCGGTTCCACTGGTGTTAGCAATCTAGCTCTCTACCGCTAGACCACTCCGTCCCACACCGAGTGAACGCCTAATAAAATGTGTATAAAAGTGCGGGATATTATTAGTACTTTATAAATTTACATGCGTTTTTTGAGAAATCATTTCCTCAATTTTAGGGTCCTAGGGGCGTAATTTAATTAAGCTAATTTAGGTCTCTAATTGCTAGTTTTTATGATTGCATCTGAAATTGTTAGGCGAAAATAGCCTGCATGCCGAGTTAAGAAAAACGTGTTAATAAGCAAGGGCGCTTCTATGCTTTCTATGAGCGTTATTCGTTATTAGCATTTCTGAAATCTAAAAACCAAAAGATTGTTTAAGTTTCTTTGTAAACAATTCTGATTGTATCAAAAGCTGAAGATCGTGATGAGTGGCCACCGAGAGATGTCAGGTAAATAATTCACGTTTTCAACTCCGCGTATCACTGCATGATCTACTAATGTAAAGCAACGTTGTTTAGGCTGTCGTTTAGAGGGACGGCGACACGCTTGGGTGCTCCAGACGACACAAACACCACCACAATTTTTAGGTCAATAACACAGCAGACGCACAGAGATCTATAGTGTACTCATTTATTGTGTAAACTTGTGTTTTATTTTTTCGTTCTTGATATTTATGTTGAAACGGGTTTCCCCCAACACAATTATGTATTACGAGCCGAACCGCGGCATATCATATGCTGCTATTTAATTGTTTTATTTTCTACTTTTCAGTAATTCATAATTTGTGAATTCGACAGTACCAATGCTGCCACTGAAAATATTTGCTTTAAAACACTATCAGTAGGTCGTTATGAACGATACTACCCCCACCCTCCTTTCCCCCAAGCCCTGCCTACACCCTCCCCCCTTGAAAGCAGCCTCCTCTTAGTTACTTCCCCTAAGTTTAAAATCGTTTCAAACTAAATTATCTGCCCCTAATAGCCGTCACTACCCGGCTCTACGAATGTAAACATTTAGCGTGAACCACAGCTCACCAGACCATGTAGGGGTGGGGTGGTAGGGAGCTCGCTTACAGCTTGTTTTCTAGCGTCTCCCAGAAGAGAATTATATATATAGATGTTTCAGAGTCCTAATATATAAAAGCCCTTGCGTGCACTTCTCTCTCTCTCTCTCTCTCTCTCTCTCTCTCTCTCTCTCTCTCTCTCTCTCTCTCTCTCTCTCTCTCTCTCTCTCTCTCTCTCTCTCTCTCTCTTGAAGTTATTTCTTGAATTGTTGATTAGTCATCGAACCTGCATGTTTATTTGCCGGCTGTAAACCCCTCAAGACAAGTGGTCATCAGACTTGAGTATATACTTGTATTACACTTCCCTATTACTAGCTACTTCAATTTTGTTACTGCTTTAACTGCTCATCCTGCCTGCGACTCAGTTCACGAGACAGTAGAACACTTATTTGACTAATTTTTATTCCTGTTCGAAAGTAGCGCAGACCCTCCTACTTGTTGAATTCTATTGATGCTAGATTATACTAAATGTTTTACAATTATCTTTCTTCTTTTCGCGTGTTTATCCAAAGTTAATTACAAGGCAGCAATTGTTTAAATTTGGATTTTTTATACTAGATGTGTTGCTGTCGATAGCTAGCAAGTCTCATCTGCCCAATGGTTCGAATTAGGGCCCTTTCTGGTTAGCAGCCATAAGCTTTTCTGACCAGACCACGCCAATCTTACCCTAGCTGTAATACAACTTTTATGGTTTGACTGTCGTTTTAGCTTTTATTATTGCCTTCATTTCTTTTTACAAGCTTTTATCTAACTTACTTCCTCTGTCTGTCGTCAGTCGTCAGTCTAGATGGAAACGCCCGAACGAAATTTCGAACACTTGTAAATGGCAGATTTGTTTGAACATTGGCACGTGGGTCAAGACATAAAGACAATGCAACATGACATTACATTTGACTTAATTGGTAGCCTGATTAATATTTTATGAATTAATTACAATTGTGTCCAAATTAGTAGGCTGTCTCATCACATTATTCCATACTATTAGACACGCGTCTTCACGTTCTGCACGTGTGCATGGTTTTTAGCCATGTAAATTTAAAACATTTTAAACAAACGTTTTAATAACAAGCTTTTATGTAATAATGCTTCCTAAATATTAGTAAAGGTATTCAATAGATACTAAAGTGACGATTTATATAGTTTAAAGTGAAATTTGTACGACAGTAGAATGCCAGACAAACGAAAACCCATCTGTAAGCGCTTTATTCTAAGTTAAATTTCTGTTTAAATAACTCAAAAGCTCTAATAAAATGACGAACTAACAATATCCATAATCAAATATTGGTTTTGTTTGAATAACATTTCTTTTGAGATCGCATCAAAACTAAATAAAAGTTTTTTTAAAAATAACCATTTTAAAATTAAGTTGTTCAAATGCTTTTTTTTACTTTCTCGTATAGATAAAGTCTTGTAATCGTGCAAAAAAAATCGAGATTTGTTTACAAATCTCGACATTTTACACCTCACTAATACGGAAAAACATAATTTTGCAATCTTGTCCGTATGTCTGTGTGTCTGTGTGTCTGTCTGTCTGTGTGTAAACACGATAACTTGAGTACCGTTACAGCTATGTTGATGAATATTCATATATAAGTATTTTATCAAGTATATATAAGTATTTTAGACCCTGATCAACTTTTGAGCGATTTCCAATAACCGGAAGTGGTACTTTTTCTTCTTTGAATTTTTCAAAAGCCTATAACTTGAGTACTATTTCAGATAGATAAATGAAATTTCACTTGTAAGTAAAAGATCTAATTTTCTACCATCTGTCAAATTTTGAGTAGTTTCCGTTGACCGGAAGTACTAATTTACGTTATTTTCGATTTCTCAAAAAACGCATGTAAATTTGTAAAGTACGAATAATATTGCGCACTATTATGCACATTTTGTTTTGGCGTTCGTTTGGTGCGCAATTCTTTTTTCTATGAGATTCTATTCTATTTTTAAAAGTTTAAGTAATTAAAAATCATGTCTATATTTCAAGTTATATAAGAATATTCGAGAAAGTTTAGGGGAGATCGCTCCCGGTTTATTTAAAATTAATTTTGAATTAATGCCTATATAAAAGCCAAGATACACCAAATTAGCAATTAAGTTAGTTTAGTTTAATATTTTGAGATATCTGAACATAATAGTTTTTTTTGTATGTTAATTTTCATTTATAATTTAAACAATTTTACAAGTTTTAAAATAAACATCAATTACTATATTTTGTACTGAAAACATCAAAAGAATATTTAAAATTAATTTATGAAAATGAAGAGAACATTAAATACTGTCATTATTTTCTGACACTCTATAGTCAGCCTCGCCGATTTAGTACCTTGTGGAATGGTAGGTTCGGATTCCGTTGGGTTTTGACTGTTCTGTCTTTACTCGGACTATATTCTGTACCTTTGTCTACCCTTGGCGTTGAAATATCACTTTCTGTTTATATTTATATTTCAGTTACAACGCCTGCTTCCACCCCCTCTACATATATTAAAAAGTAAGTTTTTTAGTAGTATTTTTCACACATGCAGTCTATTTGAGTTAAACTGAGCTAATTTAAAAATAGTTAGGCATGATTTAATTGTGTAATGTTTTACTACGGAAAGCCTTCATCGACTTATTTTATAATTAGGCATGTTCGATTAAATTGGGTTGGCGACAAATATAAACAAGTGCTAGAGTAATTGATTTAATTAATGAAAATTACTTGAAATTACAACACATCAAAGCCCATGTGAAGAAAACGTCAAGAAAAAATATTTTAAAAAATGTAATCAACACAAACAGACACACACACACACACACACACACACAAACGCATAACCATGCACGCTTATACAATCACGGCGTCCTTACCATGCGTTATATGCACGCGTCGCATACCGTGCAAAACAAGACAGAGGTGCTATACTAATGAATAAACTAAGGTCACATCAAGAGCACACGTTTTTCCCTCCCCCCCCCCCCCTCCCATTTACTCCCAATTGTCACGTGTTGAAAGTAAATGTGAGTAAGATGGTGATGCATTAAGGTTTAATGGGATGCGTCATCAAACTTAAATAAGCGTTCCATCTAACAAATTTAGAGTACGCAAAAAACGCCCGAATCTCTAAAACATACATCAGTTATGCTGTCCAGGTTCTATCACAATCAACTGGCTATGACCTACACACGAGGCCTAATTTTCATTTCAGTGAAATTCAGACTGCTGTAGTAGTAAGTAATGGCCAACCATTCGACCCCCTTGCTGTATTCAGTGTTGCCGTAGTTACCGTTAAGAAGCGCCGAATGACAACCACCAAACCACCAAGCTGCGCGGTAGGTCGTGGCACAGTTTAAACTTGCCTTATCGTAAGCCTTGTCGTACGTGCCGAAAGGTTTGTTGTTGTTCATTGCACCGAAGGAATCGCTCGTGTTCCCATAGAACCCGCTGAAGGATATCTTGTAGAAATCGGCTTCTGAGTACAGAAGAAAGCCTGTGTAACCAGCGTAGTAGCTATTCCCCAGATACTTCATGTCGATCCGTAGCTCGTACGTTTTGTTTACAGTCATACAGTGAATGTTTTCGTTGCCGAGGTAAAAGTCACCAGCGTCGAAGTCTCCGAACCCGTTTTTGTAGTCCTCCCAGTTCCGATAAAAGTCCACGACAAAGGTGACGCGACGCTGAAAAATTGTCCAGCCACCGCCATCTGTCTCTGTGTCGCACATGACGACAAGACCGTTGGGCATCCGCAGCAGTGGTCGGCTGCCTGCTGTAGAGCTTACGTCCTTACATGTTCTATAATTCACTGGGTCGTAGAGAACACTTGTCTTTTTTCTCTCTATGGAGTTCTGTTCTGTTGAAAGGATATATATATATATATATATATATATATATATATATATATATATATATATATATATATATATATATATATATATATATATATATATATAAATAAATAAATAAATAAATATATATATATATATATATAAATATATATATATATATATATATATATATATATATATATATATATATATATATATATATATATATATATATATATTTATTTATATATATGAAGAGTTTATTTTCAAAACGCGATAAACGCCATTTTTGAAAAAAAAATGAGATAACGTGCCCATATTGTAAAGCTACTCAGTTACTATTAGGAAAACTTAATTTTAATCTTCACGGCGCAAAATTTTTTTTTATTTCTATTTTTGAAAAACAGTTATATCATATTGTAAAATGGCTTTGTGCAGGAGAAAAGTGCGATTTTCTCAAAACCAACATTTTGGATATATTGCATTTTGAAAATAAACTCTTCATATATATATATATATATATATATATATATATATATATATATATATATATATATATATATATATATATATAATACATATACATACATATGGGGTAGAGTTTTGAGAAATGAGACAAATAAGAAGTGGGGCAGAAGTGACATTTTAGACCAAAATTTCAATTTGTCCCTTCAAACCATACAGTTACAAACTGTCAAAAATATTCTTGCCGTGCAAGCAATTCATTAGTTTCAAATGTGCAGAGAAGAGTTTGAAAACCATTTTTTCTTATGTCAACAAATCTTTTAAGCAGTCAACATTGCTTTGATCCTGGCTGCTCTGTTGTTATGGTAACTTTTTTATTCCTTGCATGTCTTTACTGAATCGTTTGTGTATGTTTTAGCTAACGCTTTTAGGGGATGACTCAAAGATAAAAATGTGCAATATATATTTAGAAAGAATGGTTTTTGCCAGTTAACGAATGGTTAATTAGAGTTTAAAAAAATTTTTAAGTACTTAATGGACGATCGCGAAATGTGGGGGAGAGGGGGGTGAGGGGGATAAACGACGACACCATGACGTAAACATGATAACTTTTGAGAAAACAATGTTTCGCCCAACTATATTAATAACCGACTGTAGATAAACATCATTAGTGAACTTTTAAAGCTTATTCCAGAGAGGGGGGGGGGGTGGTGGTGACACCAACTGCAAATTTACAGAAAAAAGGGGGGTGGGGGTTGACACCATGAGTTCATGCGCCGGGTGACACCCGACCTATTGACGCTACTGTGTATGGATATCTATATATATATTGGGAAAAAAAGTAATTATTTTAAACAATAATGTTTTAGTCTTTTTTTTTCCTTTCATAACCACTTAATAATTTTTTTACACACTTCCTCTAGAGATTAAACACAGTAATTCTGAAACGAAAAATTGTGCTTTTAAATAAAAACAAATACGTTTCACGTTTTAGTGTTTTATTGTCTGCTTTTAACCCATATTTCCAAGATTTATAAGCCTCTTGCGATTGCAGGTTGCTGTGACAATAAATACTTATTGAGTTACGACATTAAACCATCAACATGTGCCAGCTATAAATCTCTATGAATCTCACTGACATAAGCTTTCCCCCTAAACTTTCCCCATAAAAGTATCAAAGTAACTAGTCTACTTTTAACCATCATTTTCGTATTATATCTATTTTTATATATCAGCAGTAAACTCTTATGGATTTGTGTTTTATAAATTCAGTTGATTTTTACAGATATCTAGAAATAATACAAGAATTTAACGCATTCCGCACACGAGGAATAATTACAGCTAAAAATTCTAACGGAGTTCTAGGCAAGCAATATTGATAAACATTCCTATACCTAGGCAAGCGGCAGTGTTACAGGATCCCATCCTTCCATTGCCGATGGTGACGACAGTATCGTGAGCAACACAGAACTTTCCGGTGCTGTAGAGATTGGCATCGGCTGGAGGTTCTTTGACTGATGTACTGACTGCGACTTTTGGTAGAACCCAATAACCTATTGGAAGAAAAATTTAAAACGTTCAACTGACGTAGTCTAGTTATTTATAGTTTTCTAGTGCAAATGAATGTTTTTTTTACTTTTTCGTATATACGAAGTATAGAGAAAGTATTGTAATTGTGCAAAAAAAAATCGAGATTTTTACAAACATAATTTTGCAATCTTGTCCGTATGTCTGTGTGTATGTGTGTGTGTGTGTCTGTCTGTGTGTGTGTAAACACGATAATTTGAGTACCGTTACAGCTAGGTTGATGAAATTTCACATATAAGTATTTAATCAAAATCGTAGATCCTGATCAACTTTTGAGCAATTTCCGATAACCGGAAATTGGATTTTTTCTACTTTGAATTTGTCAAAAGCCTATAAATTGAGAACTATTTCAGATAGATAAATGAAATTTCACATGTAAGTAAAAAATCTTATTTTCTACCGTCTGTAAAATTTTGAGTATTTTCCTTTGAAAGGAAGTACTAATTTACGCTATTTCCGATTTCTCAAAAAACGCATTTAAATTTATAAAGTACTAATAATATTGCGCACCATTCAGCCTGGGACTATAGTATCTACATGTGGTGACTACAGTCAGCCTGGGACTAGTTTTTACATGTGGGGACTCCAGTTAACCTGGGACTATAGTATCTATATGTGGTGACTCCAGTCAGCCTGGGACTATAGTATCTACATGTGGTGACTCCAGTCAGCCTGGGACTGTAGTATCTGCATGTGGTGACTCCAGTCAGCCATGGGACTATAGTATCTACATGTGGTGACTCCAGTCAGCCTGGGACTGTAGTATCTGCATGTGGTGACTCCAGTCAGCCATGGGACTATAGTATCTACATGTGGTGACTCCAGTCAGCCTGGGACTGTAGTATCTACATGTGGTGACTCCATTTAGCCTGGGACTATAGTATCTGCATGTGGTGACTCCAGTCAGCCTGGGACTAGTATCTACATGTGGTGACTCCAGTCAGCCTGGGACTAGTATCTACATGTGGTGACTCCAGTCAGCCAGAGACTAGTATCTGCATGTGGTGACTCTATTTAACCTGGAACTATAGTATCTGCATGTGGTGACTCCAGTCAGCCTGGGACTATAGTATCAACATGTGGTGACTCTAGTCAGCCTGGGACTAGTATCTACATGTGGTGACTCCAGTTAGCCGGGGACTATAGTATCTACATGTGGTGACTACAGTCAGCCTGGGACTATAGTATCTACATGTGGTGACTACAGTCAGCCTGGGACTAGTTTTTACATGTGGGGACTCCAGTTAACCTGGGACTATAGTATCTATATGTGGTGACTCCATTCAGCCTGGGACTATAGAATCTACATGTGGTAGATATATTTAAAATTTCGTCAACGTAACTGAAACGCTACTTAAGTTTTAACAAACAGACACACAAAAAGAAACACAGACATACAGACCAAATTGCAGAACTTAGTTTTGATGCGTAAAACGTCGAGATTTAAAAAAAAAACTCGATTGAAATATTTTGCACGTTTATAATATACCGCTATTCTTAGTACAATAGAAAGTAAAAATATATATTTATAAAATTTATTTAAAAAATCTTTAGCCATCTTCTTTACTTTAATATGAATAGGCCTATTCGAAAAAGTATAGAGCAGATCACTTTCCCTTTACTTCTAAAATAAGATGTATTGTTTTATGTTAAACGTTTTCTTACCCCAGTGTCGCAAGATAAATGAAAAAGAAAAATTTGTTTCGGCCATCGAAATTTTCTTTTATCATAAAAATTGTAAAATCATTTAAGTATCTAATCTACCACTACTGCTACTAGTTTATTATGCATGTATTTTAACATAATCAACCTTTACTCATATTAACCGCATGAAATTACGTATACGGAAATTTTACTCACCCAGAATACATTGGTCAGTTGACTCATCGTATATAAAGTTGTAGCAATCGTTTTCTCGAATAGCGCACTGGTGGGCACAGCTGATTAGGCTCTCTGTAGTGAGTTGTTTGTCTGTAGGCAACATGCTCAATGCTGACTTGTCCAGCCAATTATACTCGGTGTTTAACACTTCACACACCGTTGTAGTAACTAGCAGTCACGCATTTATATATATATATATATATATAAATATATATATATATATATATATATATATATATATATATATATATATATATATATATATATATATATATATATATATATATATACATATATATATATATATATATATATATATATATATACTGCGTCGCTGTACGTGCCCTATCATTTAACACTGAATTTTAAGCTAAGACTCTTTTGCATTTTACACAGTCATTGATTAGAAAAGCATTTTTTAAATACAAGTTTAAAATCTATTCTACACATTTATTTTTTTAAATTACATATTGAAGTACGAATTGCCCTATTTATCTAACATATGTTATTTGTATGATTAAAACATTTTATAAAAATAAATTATATTAAATTGCACTGCCTTTGAATAAAAGAATCATCGCTGAAGTTAACATGGTGTGAGATCTTATGTTGGTTTTAATCGAACACACAGCTTATGTCAGCGACACCACAGCGGCAGCTAGACCAACCATACTAGTAAAGTCCACGGATTATTCAAGCACTCAGCATTGCAGGTTCAGAGGCGTAGCGAAAGGGGGTGGGGGCAGGGGGGGGACATATGTCCCCGGGCGCCGACCTTAGGGGGGGGGCAAAATGGGTTGGAAAAAGTAATCGAAAGTTTGAGGGGGGTGCAAATCGAAAGTTTGAAGGGGGTGCTAATCAAAAGTTTGGTGGAGGGGGGTACAAATCGAAAGTTTGAGGGATTGGGGTGCAAATCGAAAGTTCGTCCCCGGGCGCCGGGAAGGGTAGCTACGCCTCTATGCAGGTTAGCTATACTTCACGAGAATCTGGAATTGTGATCTGCATTGTTTATTTTGTGTTTTAACTAATGTATGTAGAGGGCCTCGAGTAAAATTATCGTAGGCTGAAAAGGTTTTTTATTCTAT